AAAGGTATTATGACAGATGATCCTTGCTGGTTATGCCATACCAATATAGAAGTGCCTATGTAGCTGGCACCAGCATGTATTGCCTGTGTAATCAATTAAAATGGCCGACATGCGCTCCAAGCCTCGCTTCTGCTCCGGCCGGACGTGATATCACCGGATATGACAGAATCACGTTTCTTTAACGTACGTTTCACCTGGCGGCATCGATGCCAATATAAGTCTTGGAGAACAGCTCTCAGCCTTGGAAAATTAGCTCTCTTAAAGTTGAGTGTTTTTATTTTCCCCATATGTGAATTTTGTTTACAGCTGACAGTAAATGAAATCATGTTATGGTCACTGCTACCCAGATGTTCTTTTATATTGACATTAGTAATAAGCTCTGCATAGTTTTGAGATTACCAGGTCCAGCAGAGCATCATTCCTAGTTGGGGCCTCCTATGAACTGTACATTAAAATTGTTCTGTAGTAGGTTTATACATTTTTGCCCTTAACTTTTCCTGCAGTTCCATTATTTCAGTCAATTTCCACTCTAGGCACCCTTTCAAGTTCTGCACAATCTTGAGGCATCCTATTCTAAAATGTAAAAATGAACAGTTTTACATAATGCAGCCACATCCACATGTGTAGGACACCTATCATTAGAGGTGATTTATTGTTCAAAAGCAAACATACTTTTGCACACCGGTACTGAGTAGTATTCCATTGCTTCTCTTCTTCCTGTGACCCCAGTGCTGATGGAGAGGGGTTAGGGGAGAGCCAAACAAAGATGCTTTGTAGATGCGAGACATCCTTCCTAATAACTGCTTGCCCTCCACTCTAAAGCAGAAGTACTGCTACAGGGCTGTGCAAAATCATGTACATATACGTGATTTGCATTTCTGGGGAGGGGGCACGCGCCAACCTGCCTGCGCTGCTATTGGCGGATAGAGATGTCAATCACCGGGTCCTGGCCGGCAATTCGTCGGAGAAAGCTTAAAGGGGAGAGACCTGTGTGTAAACAGCACAGGTCTCTCTCCTGTCAGCATGGACATGCACAGCAGAGAGATACAAAACAGCATGTCTCCCTAGTAAAACACAGCACACAGTAAAATACACACAACATACAGTTAACCCTTTGATCGCCCCAGATGTTAACCCCTTCCTGCTTAGTGTCATTATTACAGTGTCAGTGCTTTTTGTTAGCATTCATCACTGTATCAGTGTACTGGGGATGTCAGTGCCAGTTAGTCAGTTCGCACCCAGTGTCAGAATGCCCGCCGCAGTCCCGCTATAAGTCGCTGATCGCTGCCATTACTAGTATAAAAAAAAAATTCCAGTGTATATACCGCCATTTGTAACTTTCACGTAAACCAATTAATTTGCACGCATTGGGATTTTATTAGCAAATTTTTTTTTATTCGATATGTTTTATAGTAAAATGTCAAAAAAGGTGATCAAATACCATTGAAAGAAAGCTTTATTTGTGGGGAAAAAGGACATACATTTCATTTATGTACAGCATTTCATGTAAAGTAATGCAGCGCCCCATCACAAGGAATGGCTTGGTCAGGAAGGGGGGTACATCCTCTGGAGGACAAGTGGTTAATCGATGATGTAATTGATTGTTAGGGCACTGGCAAGTAGAGGGCTGTAATGGTGAATCAATTAACACTTGTGACTTTGTGTAACTAAAAGGCAGGCTTGCTCCACCTGCTGGCTTGTATACAATTTTTGGTCAATTTTTAAGCATTTTGCCAAGGCACCCCTGAAGAACCCTGAAGGCACCCCTGGATGCCTGGGCACCCTGGTTGAAAAAGGATGCTGTATTGTAACTAGAATCAACTTAAGCATAAGCAGTCTCCATTGCAACCTTTCAGGTACTGCTCATAACTTAAATCTTGGCTATTTATAATAATCCTTGCATAGAAAATCTACCAGCCAGTGCTGGAAGCAGAAGGATGTTTTACCAGTGTGTATTTGATAATGCTCTTGCTGTTTAAAATTTTTCCGCTTCACTGTTCTCACAAGTATGGCCATTTTGCACCCAACCCACCTTGTTTTGAGCTGTGCCAGGTCATCTGCTTTACTGCTGCTGGTTTAATTCACTTGGAAACAACGCAATACTCTAGTTTGCATCGGAAAGAGTTCTCCAGCTTTCTCTCAGAGTAGCAGACATCTAGCAAAGGTGGAAACTTTGCTCCACAGTTGACCAATGTGCATAGCCCAAGAACCAAAAACCTACCAGCTGTGAACAGACATTCTTATTCTGCACATAGCCAGCCAGGGGCGGACTGACAACTCATGGGGCCCCGGGCAATAGGGGATCATGGGACCCTGTGTCCTTGCCCAAGCTCAAAAAAGCCTATGAAAAAGATAGCAGGGGCATCTCATGGGGCCCCTACTGACCTCGGTCCCTCGGGCAGTGCCCGAGTTTCAAAATGGTCAGTCCACCCCTGTAGCCAGCATGGCACACACCTCTTTACCAGACACTGACTGCCAACTAATGTAGCTATACACAAGAAATCTACATTTATGTGGTAGTAATGTGTAATCCACCAAAGTGACATTTCTTATACAACTCCAGATCAAAAAACTGCCAGGCGACATTCAATCTCAGGCCTATAAACCTTTAGACAGGTTTTACTCAAATCTGCACTAGATTAATGCTAACTCCCTTTGGCAGCAATACATTATGGCTTTTTGGTATAAAAAGGGAGACTATGAAAAAGATAATCTTTCATTACAAGCTGTATCCTTATGAGAGTTCATAAGGACATTATTATGCTTTTATGCTAAAATCTTCTTATGGTATACATTGGGGTGACTGGGTCTGCTTAAGTATTAATGCTGCACACTGGATTGAAGTTCAAAAACACATTAATGACATGGAAAAGAAGATATCTGATCATTATTTTACAGCTGTGGGTTCGAAGTTGTGAAATAACATAATTAATACTAATTATAATAATGTCAACTTGTGGCATTTGAAAGAACCACAAAATAAAGAAGCAGAATAGGGCATGCAATCTTTCATTAACAGTCATCATTAGTTGCCACTTACAGCTTACTTCATACACTTACACTTTCTGCATAGAGCAGGCAAACAACAAAACTGGGTACTTTATTAAACAACAGCCATTTTCTCCAGTGTCTTACCAGTGTATCTTTCCGTCATTGTGAAAGGCAATGTAACCAATAGAAAGGTGCAAGAGGAGTGTGAAGGTGGTCCAGACCAAGAAAACAGATGTTGATTTGCTTTAATAAATTCCAGAATTGCATTACATGCCAATCACAAAAGGTTTAATGTGGAAATCCACATTCTGGATAGAGTGGGGAAAGGGTAAAACCTATTACTTTTTTTATTGCTACATGTGTCCCATTTGGGAGGGGCCTGCAATTACTTGTCATGTCAATGGGGACATAGCCAGTAATAAAAACACTTTTTAGAGAGAAAGAAGGGTTTGTGCGTTTATTGATTGTTCTCCCCAACACGCACACCATTGAAACACGAGATATGTGTAACCATTTACCACCCCAACTAAATTAAAGAAAACAAAGTAATGCATAATATTGCACTTTAATCACGTAACTTTGGCTCAGTGTGGCTTGTGCTGTTTTTTTATTATTCTGCGTATATTAAAATGATTTTTTTTTTCATATTGGATAGAGCAAGGGAGGAAGGAAGTGTAAAAAAGATCTTTTTACACCATTTGTGTCCCATTGCGGCGGTTTCCCTTCACTTCCTGTCCCATAACCAAACAGGAAGTGAGAAGAAATACCTGCAACTTAAGTGAATCCCTTGGGGACCCCCAGTTCACCAAAACTAGTGTCCCCATTGGAAGATTTCCCTCTATTACTTTTCTGGGGACAATCCAAAATTTGGGATTTTCTTTTACTTTCACTTTCAATGATAATGGTAAACAGGACAAATAGAAAGGGTGAATCTCCCTAATGGGGACACAGACAGCTATACCAACTGACAGGAGTTCTAATCCCTCTCCAATCTATCTAAAACAAAAAAAAAAAAACTTGCCTTTAGTTATACTGTAATACTAAGGAACAAATTATGATTCAAGACCTTCAACAGTGCCTTGAAAAAGTATCCATTCCCCTTGAAATTTTCCATATTTTGTCATGTTACAACCAAAAACATAAATGTGTTATTATTGGGATTTTACGGGATAGACCAACACAAAGTGGCACATAATTGTAAAAGTGTGGTGTGCAGTTGTATTCAGCCCCACTGAGACAATACTTTGTAGAACCACCTTTCCCTGCAATTACAGCTGCAAGTCTTTTTGGGGATGTCTCTACCAGCTTTGCACATCTAGAGAGTGACATTTTTGCTCATTCTTCTTTGCAAAATAGCTCAAGCTCTGGCAAATTGGATGGAGAGTGTTTGTAAACAGCAATTTTCGAGTCTTGCCACAAATTCTTAACCTCCCCTGGCGGTATGATTATTTTAGATTTTTGGTGCCGAAAGCGGTACCATTATTTTGCATGGAAATTTGGTGTTTTATATTGTAGGCCTGTAATTCTTAGGAATAACTCACGGAAATCTGTCCGAACAAGAGTCTAGTAAACATCCCGGGTAGGATAAAACTTGAAACACAAAATCATAAATTATAATTTAATAAATAATCATAAAAAATAATAATATAATAATAAATTTAATTCAATAATATAATCAAACCAAAAACACTGAAATTTGAAATATAGCGCCAAGTTCGCACATCACTGAGCAAAGTCGCAATATCGTTTTCAGTGTCTGATGATGAATTTTCCCACGAATCATTATCACTCAATTCTGCAAGTAGTTCTAATTTACTATCGCTGTTATCTAGCTGGTCTAAAACCACTTTTAACCTAAAGGGACGCTTTTTGGACGCCATGGACGTTTCTCAGTTTCCAGGCAATAAGAACGGTAAAAATGCAGGCAGGGCACAGGACAAAGCACTAGGGACAAAATGTATGTGAAATGGTTTGATACAGTAATGTTTTACTAGTGATTTTAGTGAATGTCACTTTTTGTCATTTTCAAATTTCCCGGCGTTCCGTCTCCTGTACGTCCCGACGCTCGCAGGGGACGGAACCCAGAAGACAGATGCCGGCATCCGCCGGATTACATTGCCAGGGACACTGCAGGAGGGACATCGCGGGAGCGCAGGACAAGGTAAGTGATCGAGGGATCGCGGAGCAGCGCCGCATGGTATTCCCGAGTGTAGCTCGGGGTTACCGCTTGTGGTACTGAAACTTTACCCCGAGCTACACTCGGGAATACCATCAGGGAGGTTAATTGGATTTAGTTCTGGACATTGATTGGGCCATTCTAACACATGAATATGTGCCGCCATTTGTGGCCTCAGCTGTCGTCATTGGAGGCTTCAGCTGTCGATCCCCAGGATGGTGATTTCCCGCCGGCATCCAGCAATCGCCGAGTATCACTGATGGGGGAGAAGTCTGTATGTAAACAATAAGAATCTTTTCCCTGTCAACTCCTGCACACTGCTTTGTATTGCTCTGCATAACAGAGCAATACAAAGCAATGTGCTTACACAGTAAAACACACACACAGCGCACAGTACAACAGCGCACAGCACACAGTTAACCCTTTGATCACCCCAGATGTTAACCCCTTCTTGCCCAGTGCATTTGTAGATTACCACCAAAAGAAAGCTCCATTTGTGGGAAAAAAGGACATACATTTCCTTTGGGTACAGTGTTGCATGACTGTGTAATTGTCAGTTAAAGTAGCGCAGCACCGTATTGCAAAAAATGGTCAGGAAGGGGGGTAAATCTCTGTAGGGCAAATGGTTAATCATGAGTAATATTATGGATGTTTTCACAACATACACAGCAGGTCTCCAGAGTCTCTCCAGCATCTATTACATAATAGTGAGTCCGCCAATTCCATTTTAGATTTGTAGGGGTACCAAAATCCTAGGTAAAGATAAACAGGATTGCCTTTATCTTTAAGTCTGATTTAAAAGGATTCATAATTGTTCATTCAGAATGATTTGATCCATATCATTCTATTGTTCCCCTGTGAAGAGAACATCCCTGGCCTATTTATTTCTGGTGAATATGGGATATGTAGACATTCACAATCAAAAGTTCTGCATATGCATTTTGATTTTATGCAGCTAAACTGAATCCATAAATGGTTAGTAAATGCCTTTCAAGTAATAGTTTTGGTTTGTGCTAGAAGTGCATCCGCTAACTTCAAATACTGACAAATTATATTTTTGGTAGTGTAAATTTGGTGAACAATTTAAGGGCATTGTTACTGAATGCTAGATGAGTAATGTTCACCCACCTAATTCACATCAGATTTATTTTATATTTTGTGTGCATGAGTAGGTTATGCCTAATGCTCCCAAGGTGTTATTAATCTCGAAACTGCAAAGATCCAACCTAATGTTTCCTATTAAAGACATTAGCTGCATAACATATTGCATAAGTGGGGATGATTATAGTAAAAAAAACATGTTTTATAACATTCTGCATCAGTACAGGCAACACTGCTATAAAAAGAGCTGATAAGGTCCCAATATATTGATTAGTGCTTTAAGAGATTCTTATAAAAGAAATTATTATAACAAAGGTGAGTAATTTGCTAGAGATATCTGACGTACAAGAAATTTTCAGAACCACTATACTTTATGTATTTATTCTAAGCACTTATGTAGAATAAATTATCATTGTAAAATATTATCTTCAGACTAAAATGAGCTTGATTTGGTAAAAAAACACTACCCAGAACTTTGTTACAGTTTACTGATCAAGTTACCAATGAAAACAACCTATTTGTTTCATATGAATTAACACAAAAATGCATGCTCAGCAGTATGCCCAGAAGATGTGGAGGCAAATTGTAACTCAAAATGGAATTTTACTACAAAATATAACAGAGAATACAGCAATATAATAGTTCAGTAGTACAAGTAGTATAGCAAAGACACATTCCACACCAATGATTTAACATAAAAAATGCAGTGCTAAATATAAGAATACCCATCATCAAAAGTAAATAAGTGAGTCCATAAACTCAAACATGTAAATGCAAAGTCCCAAAATATAAAAACTGACTTCAAAAGTGTATTCATCCAAAGAATACAATTCTTCCTCTTTCACTTAGCCACCACAGTGTTCAACCACCATGTGCTTTGCCAAACACGCTTACCAGAATGTATGACTCTACAGGTAAGAGAAAATTCCCCATATTACAGGGAAAGAACTAAGGAAACACATAGTGTAAAACCTCTAAAGTGAAATTTTTTAAAATATGCTCACAAGGATAAAAACATAAGCACTAATAATACAATACAGCCTGTCCCAAAGCTCTAGTGGGCAACTTCTGGATGTCAGGATGCGTAATGATGGCACGAATGTCTGCTCCGCCCTATGCATTTCATCATTCCCCGGAAGACGTCAGATGTCAACAAAGCACAAATCCACAAGCGTACCACTTTACCATTTTGAAGGATGCAATTTGTGTAACTAAACATACTACTGATAGGGCAAATACAACTGGCAATGTAATTCTTATTAGCTTCATCATCATTTTACTGGTAGTATATTTACAATTGCCAGAAAACTTAAGGTGATTAATTTATAATACCAGGTTAAATATTTCTGATAAAAATAATTCAATAATGTGGCACAAGACATAAACACATACCTACAGAGATGTGGCATGGGCAGGGCTTAATAATGCATTTTCTCTATAATTTTGTAAAAAAAGAAATATATCTGGTCACCAATATTAGGAGACACAGTTTACAGCAAGCAATGCTTCTACTGCAAAATGGAATTCCTGCATTGATGAATAGTGGAAGTCACATTTTAAAAACATTACAATGGGATTGGTGTCATGGCTATAAGTTTACTGAAGCCAATGATTTCAGAGGAACCCTACTTTTATGTTACATCCAAAAGATTCTCATTTTAGTTCAGATCTAGACTGGTATCCACATAAGGGGTTATTACAGTGCCCCAAAAGAATACAAGCTCATTGTGATTCCACAGAACCAATAGAAAAGATTAACCTCTTCCCGTCCACCCATTCTACATAGATGGCGTACAGGAAGCAGCGCCGATGCGGGCTAACATTCCTGTATGTCAGCCCACATCAATGGCTCATGCGCGGCTCACAGAGCGTGCACCCTGGAGCACGGTGCTCAATATGTCACTTGCACACAGTGGATCATATTACCGCTGTGTTCAGGCGATCACGTGGTATTTTACCATGTGACTGTTGTAACTAATCACAGTACTCACATAGTAACAATGAAACTGAAAGTAAAGATCGCTTCTCTCTGCTTAGCAGACAGAAGCAATCCTGCAGTGTGGGAGTGTACAGCAGCCTGTCAGTGCCCCAGTTTAGTGCCCCGTGTCCCTGATCACTGCCCCAGTATTTACATAATAGATAATGCAGGGAGACCCTGCCACCAGTGCACACAAAAACCCCCATACACCACCATACACACATGTCCTAATCACCGCCATACCAGTGTCTTGATGACCGCCATACTCCAAACCAACACCCTGATCACTGCCATATGCCGTACCAGAACTCTGATCACCTCCATACACCATACCAGCACCCTGATCACCTCCATACACCATACCAGCACCCTGATCAGCGCCATACCCCATACCAGCATCTTGATCACCGCCACACCCCATAGCAGCACCCTGATCACTGCCATATCCCATACCAGCATCCTGATCACCACCATGCCCCATACCAGCATCCTGATCACTGCCATACCTCATACCAGCGTCCCGATCACCACCATACCATCACGTGATCACCACCATACCCCATATCAGCGTTCTTATCACTGCAATACCCCATACCAGCATTTTGATGACTGCCATATCCTATACCAGCATCCTGATCACAGCCATACCCCGTACCAGCATCCTGATCACCCCCATACCCCATAACAGCATCCTGGCTACTGCCATACCAGCGTCCTGATCACCGCCATACCTCATGCTAATATCCTGATCACTGTGATACCCCATACCAGCGTCCTGATCACAGCCACAGCCCATACCAGCACCTGATCACCCCCATACCCCATAACAGCATCCTGGCTACTGCCATACCAGCGTCCTGATCGCCACCATACATCATGCTAATGTCCTGATCACCGTCATACCCCATACCAGCATCCTGTATTTTAGGATCTCAACTGATCAATTTTCAAATATATATCCTATAGTTTGTAGAATCTATAGTCTATAATAATATAAACTGTTTTGGGTTATTTTTACCCAAAAATGTAGCAGAATAAATTGTGACCCAAATTTATGAAGAAAAAAATTATCTATTTGCAAAATTTTGTAACAAAAACTAAGCAAAAAATAATTTTTTTCAAAATTTTCGGTATTTTTTTTCATTTATATAGCAAAAAAAAAAAAAAAAACCCAGTGGTGATCAAAGACCAAAGGAAGCTCTATCTCTCTCAAAAAAAAAAAAAGATAAAAATTTCATATGGGTACAGTGTTGCATGACTGGGTAATTGTCACTCAAGGTGTGATAAAGCCGAAAGCTGAAAATTGGCCTGGACTGGAAGGGGGTGAAAGTGTCGGACTTGAAGTGATTAACAGAAACATCCATAATATTCAGATTTGGCATACCTGGTATTTGATCCAAATGCCACTGGAAAAGAAAAAAATCACTGAAAAGCATTGCATTACTCAACAACCTTAAAGTCTCATTGCTTTAATTAGACAACCTCCAAGGAACATATTTCAATTGGTACATGTATCTCATATCAGGAGCGGGGTGCTTAATCAATGTCTTGGAGGAAAATCGTTATGTGCATAATAGCAGTGGTGTTCTGCAAGCAGCTTCTCCTGATGCCTAGCAAAACAGTCAACCGTTTTTAAAATACAAAAAAGAGAAGTACTTCACCTAACAGATGCCAATTCAATCCACAGATAAGACATTGCTCACCTTAGAGCTTGGATGTCATACATGTATACGTACTACAGCAAACAAGCTTAGAAAATCCCTTGATCTGTTCTGTATTGCATAGTTTCTCTGCAATGCAATTCCATGTTTGCTGAGCTATTTGTGAGGTGCTGAACCCACTGATGATGTAGGGTAGTCAGATACCATGGACAGATACACGTGAAATGCACTAAGAAAAAGAGCAA